TAAGCAGCATCACCTTCTTTCCATCGATGGTTGCAGTGATGAAACCACTTCGCGCCCCCTCCCTTTTTCTATCATGTGAGATGCCCCACAAGCGAGAAATTGGTTCACCGCTCGACGAATAGTACAAAGATAAAGACTTGTACATGTAATAGGAACGATCCTTGCAGGGAGCCATCATGAAGATGCTTCGGTCATAGACTTCGCCCCACTCCACAATCGATGGATTGTGGCAACCCTCACCTACCATATAGACTACAGGCTTCCATTCATTCTCTGACGGGGTGAAGTGCGCGAGAAGCAAAAAGGTATTTCCATTATCTGTGGCCTGCATGGGAAACACAAGTGTGCCGTCACTCATCACAGTACCCGACCCTCCGCCAGCAGAGACATAAGTCCCGGGTGTAGCAAGCATTCCGAGCCGAATTTCCACCGCATAGGTCTCGTTCCACTGGACATTCTTCTCTCCAGCCTCAGTGACACTCCCCTTCACCAGCAAAAGCGTACATCCACTTTGATCAGCCTCTTTGCTCTCCGGTGTTGCACGGTTGCAGCTTCCCAGCAGCATATAGACATTGTTGTCATTCACAATTGTCGTTGGTCGCACTGTATCCCTCATTTCATTACCACCTTCCTTCAGCAGCTGCGTGTGAAAGGAACCTGTGCCCGCACCCATCGGAATCTCAGTCGGTTCTGTTCCAATTCCCTTCAGGTGCTGTGATACAATGCCAGTGAAGCTGTCAACTCCATTCTTGCACTGGGCCTCAGCAACCGCAAACACAGCACCGTCCACCTCCACAAGGCTGGGGACACGCAGCGAGCGAAATGACCCTTCGACGCATTGCATTTCCTCCCATTTGGCACCAGTTATCGGTGTCGTTCCTGTAAATAAATTAATGGCCGTCCCTGGGGCACTCCCCGCAGCTTGACTGCCACAGCATGTCAAGAGTACAAACAGCAGCAGCAGCAGCGAATAAGAAAACAAATGCCAGGACATCTTGGGCATGTGGCTCTGCTCTCTCACACTCTCTTCCCTCTTTGCGGTGGATCCGCTCAGGCCGCGACGGTTGTGTGGGCGGTGTGTGT